AGAGAACATGCCAGAAAGGCGCCCCCTCCTGGCAGCTGGCATCCTCAAAACTGCCTGGGGCGAGGCTCCAACCAGAGTCTACGGCTGCCCCCTTGTGGCCAAGAAGGGACTCAAACACCAGGCATCTCAGGCCCCTGCCCTTTGGGTGGGTGGGGGGGCTCCCAATTCATGATTGCTCTTTCGTACCAGCACCTACAGTTCCAGGTCAATTAGGAACCCTGTCACCAGCCACAGAACAAGGGGAAGGAGTCATCTGGGGGAAGTAGCCGCTGGATCAATAGGGCAAGGCCCCTGGAAAAAATTAATGTCCCTCAGACACACTGAATGAGTAACTGGGCAGTGGTTTCAGACCCAGCCAGCCTCAGGGAGACCCGGGCTTCACCAGAGCCCGGAAGAAAGGAAGTGCTGTCTGGAGCTCGAGCAAACATCACCCACTCTGCACAGCAGAGAACACCACACCCTCTGGGTTCTGTCAAACCCTGGATGGAGGGATAGGGCTGGATCCTAGCAGCGGGCACAGCTTGTAGCCATCTGGTTGGGTGGTTGGGCAGGGACTGAACGACACACTCATTTCTCAGCAGAGGCTCTTCTGGCCCCTCTGAAGGCTGGGTCGACCCCAGGCCCAGGTGGGAACAAGCTCCAGCTCTCAGATTCCCACCCAGAGGCAGGTCCCACCATCTGTTCCTTAGGCCCTAAGGAGCCTCTTCTAATACTCAAGCAGCACCTTAGCTCTGGGCTCTACCCTACCTCGTGTCTTCAGGGTCCACCCTGTCCAGGCAGCACCCCTACCCCCGTTTTCCTTCCCAGCATAGCTCGAGGTCAGAGACTACTTTTGACTCCTTCGTTGTTGGCTCCCACTGGGACATAAGCTCCATAGGAGGGAACCTGGTCCTGCTCCTGGGTCCAGCCCTGCTAGTCAGGCGGCGTGCCTGGCACACAGTGGGCTCTTACCTTGGCCCTGCCCCCCTACTGGGCCGAGATCCCCCTGAACACACCCAGAGCCCAGCAAGCGGGGGAAGGTGGTGAGTGTAACCAGCGGGAAATGGCCCTGGAGCCCTTGGAAGGGCTTCTCAGAGCTGCGCTGGTGGAGAAGACTCAGTGCCTTCCACCTGAGACCCAGTCTCCCTCTGACCTCTGCCTCTCACTGTCAGGCCAGGACAATGGATCACAACTGGGGGTGACTTTGTGAACCCCACCCCAGGGCATTCGTCCATGTCTGGAGACATTTTTGGCTGTCACACCTGGGGCGGGGGAGCCACTGGTATCTGTGGGCGGAGCCACTAAGATCCACAAGGTACAGGGGAGGCCCCCACAGACCTGGGTCAGCCAGAGTCACCACCTGTGAGCCTTGTGACTTTGGGCAAGTCCTTCTCCTTTCCTTTTTTAGTGAAACAGGGACAGTATTCCTACTTCACAGCATTCTGTCTGGCAAGTAGTAAGTACTTAACGAATATTAGCTACTATTAAGAAAAAAGACGTGAGGAAATTAATTAAAGCCCCACTGGGCACACGGGGCCCCAGCCCCTGCTGTCACACTCTGGGGCCACCCCTGAGCCAGGTGTGGTGCCAGGAAACCCACCGAGGGGCTGAGGGGCCGCCACGTGTCCTGGAGACTGCCACTCACACCCAGTCCACATGTTTGGGCTGTTTGCTTGGAAAGAAATGATGATTCAATTTCCATTCCTCTCTAGTTGGGAGGTGCCAGAGGATGGGAGGGAGAGGGGGCAGGGAGTCAGCATGCCGGTCTCAAGGACTTAAGTTTGTGCTTCAGGAGGGAAACAGTTTGAAGGGAGGGGAGCAGAGTGACAGGAATAGAGAAGTTACTGAAATTACTCGGGCTTTCCTGGAGTGATGGTTGCTTAATGCCTCTGCTCACTGCTGGCAACACACACACACACACACACACACACACCCATGCACGCACGGCCTGAGTGTGCAGAACGCAGAAGACCGGGGAGGACGCAGGCCCAGTCTGAAGAGGGTGTAGTGCCAGCGAAAGGGAGAGGAGCCACTGCCTCTGGGATGGTGACTCCGGTCCCAGAGGGGCCATGGGAGCCCCTGGTCAGCACACCAAGAATCAGCCCAGAGACTCACAGCCATCCTCGGGGCCCTCCTGTCCTTCTCCCACACACCCCACAGGCTGCCCTGGCTGCCCTTCCACACCCCAAACTGGATAGGGCGTGGGTTTCCAGGCCACTCTGATCTGAAGTTAAAATCCTAGTGGGTGAGGTCGGGCAAGCAACTCAACTTGTTGGAGCCTTTGTCTCCTCGAAAGTAAAGCGGGCGACACGACCTTGTGCACGGAGCACGCGGCCCAGCTTGGCATGCAGCAGGTGCTTGGAACCTGCTGGTCTTCCCCCTCCCGCTGTCCTTGCTGGTCCCCTTAACCTCATCACGCCTGCAGAAAAGGCAGGGTGGGGAAGGGAAGCAGGCAGCCCCGAGGGGCAGAGAGGAGGGCACCCGGGGCAGAGGGAGCTCACAGTAGTGCCTCCTGGGCTGGAGGTGTCTTTTCATTCCCTCCCTCTTCTTGGACCTTCGCACCCTGGGATGCAGGACACACAGAAGCCCTGTTAGAGGGGAGGAAGCCGAGCTGGAGGCCAGGCAGGAACTTGCTCAAGGCCATCGAGTGGCCTCCATCTCTGCCGTCCTGTCCTGATGGCCTCTAGAAGGTGAGGGCGCCCACCAGGCTCTTCGAACCCGAAGCTGGGACCACATCTACCAAGCTTGAGCGCACTCAGGGTTGTGAGCAGCAGCAGGGTCCTGCCAACCCCAGGGTTTCTGTTGTGGGCAGGGTGCCTGGTGGGGCAGAGTGTCAGACGGGCCCTGCATCCATAATCCTGGCTCCGCCCATGACTCACTATGTTCTCTGTGCCTCAGTTTCCCACCTGTACCATGCGGATGCAGACGGCAGCACCCACTTCGAAGGGATGTTGGGGGAACTAAACGCACATGCAAGCAAAGCACTGAAGTTCCTGGCACAAACTGGGCACTCAGTAAGCGCCATGTATCAGTATAATGAATATCTGTTAAATGAATGAATGGAGGGGACAGAACACTGAAATGAGAACTGTCCCCTCCCCACAAAATCTACCCCACAGGGCTCCCATGCAGAAGAAGGGGGGCCCCTCTTCTGCAAGAGACCTCGGGAGGGAGGGCTTCTCAAAGATAAAGCAGGTGTTGGTTAGCAAGCACTTTCCTATAAAGGGCCAGAGAGTACATATTTCAGGCTTTGCCTTACGGGATCTCAATCTCCATGGCTCAGCTCTGCAGGTGAGACTATCTGTAAGTCATGGGTTGCGGCTATGTTCCAATGAACCTTTATTTGCAGAAACAGGCTGCAGGGGTTCAGCAGCCCCTCCCTTCTTCCGAATCTCTGCAGGTAGGGGCTGAGGGTGGCATCTCTTCTTGTCCCCCATTCATCCCTGAGCTATAACTGCCGACTCGAGGCTCCCTAGGGGGTAGGGGGGATGGTGCCAGCTGGGGCCGTGGTGGTCTCCAGCTAGAAAGGAGGCCAGCACAGCTGCCTGGGCAGGAAAAACAGGAGCCAGCCCTCCAGGCCACCGTCTCTCTGAAAGTGAAGCTCAGCAACAAGAAAAAAAAAAGGACAAGAAAAGCAGGTGGTAGAGCCAGAGCAGAAGCAGCGTGTTCCCCAGTGTCCTTGTCACGTTCCCCCAAGACCTTCCACCTGGGCCCCAGGGTGGCCTGGGGAGCTCAGGGTGGCAGGGCCAGACCACCCCCCGACCCCCGTCCCAGCTGCCACTGCTCTCAGCCTCCTCGGGCACCAGCCCCAAACGGGAACCCCACTGCCTCCCTGGCCTAGCACTAGAGAAATTTTCTGAAAAAGAAAAAGAAAAGCTAAAGGTGTAAAGTTCAAGCATGGTATCATGTGCAAGAATGGCCTATTCAAAAAATGTTCAATCAAAAGAATCAATAAAGTGAAATTTAGCAAAATAAAGCACACTGGAAATAAAATACGGGCTCCAGAGGGCTCTAGCCAGCAGAGCTGAGAATGCTCCGTGGTCCTGAGCCGTTTCCTCGCCGTGAGGAACAGGTAACTGACACCTGTTCGGCTGCCCGAGGCCCCGGGAAGGCTCACGCGAGGCGAGGAGCGTCCTGAGCACACGGAGTCCCTGGCTTGCCCAGGTGTCCTCAGAGCCCCAGACCGGTGCCTGCGGAGGGTGGAGCTGACGCCAAGGATGGGGACGCTGGGGCACCAAGCCTCTGTTGCAGAGACAGGCAGGAAACCCCAGGCCCCACCTGTGAGTCCTGGGACAGGTGGTGGCAATTCCGGCAGGCAGGACTGACCTCGGAGGAGCCGCCCAAGAGCCAGCTGCCAGTCCTCCTGATTCTGTAGCTTCTCCCTCCATCCTTGCCACTCATGCTGCCGCCCCTCCCACCCAGGGAAGAAGCACCCCTGGGCTCTTCGGGCGGGAGGGCCCAGACTGAGGAAGGTGTCTGGTACCAGGGGTCCCGGGTCCGAGGCAGGCGAGTACACCTGGGGTCCCCCAGTCCAGGCGCAGACAAAGATGGCCTCACCTCTTCCACCACCTCATGAGCAGAGACTCTGGCACCCCCAGAACAATGCTGGGCCTTTATTGTCACCACACACCCTCTCCCATCTCACCGCTCCTTGGAAGCTGGCATGAGCAGGAATCAACTTCCTCACTGCATTTTTGGGGAGACCAAGGCTCAGGAAAGCAAAATGACTTTACCCAACACTTGAGGTGACAGTGAACAACGCCGATGGGCGCCTGCTACCCAGCTCGCGGTCCCTCACTCTGTCCCTCCCAGAGAGTCCTGGCTGTCCCCCAAAGCACGTGCAGGCTTTACTGCTCCTGACGCTTGGCTCTCCCCATCCTGAACAGCTCGGTCTGACGACACGCATCCTCTCCAGGGTGCATGTGCGCACAGCGCAGGGGGAGACCAGACTAAACGCCACCAACGCCAGGAGCACCCGGCCCGAGAACTGCCACATCCCTACTCGGCTGCCGGCGACCTACCCCTTCTTCAGGTTCGTCACATAAGCGCTCTGGAGGGCAGCTTCCAGGAAGTAGGTGAGCTCATAGTCAACGGGGTGAGAGCCTTTCAGGTGCCGCGAGGTGGAGTTATTTGTGACCTGGGAAGAGAGCACAGACAAAGCCTGTGATGTCTCAGAGTCTGTGGCAGCGGGGCTGGGCTGAGGGGCCAGCCCAGGCACAGGCGGCCCTGTGGACTGTCCCAAGTCCCCAGCCATTCCACGGGAACATGGCGCAATTCTCAGACCACATCCAACCGAACTTGCTTGAATTTAAAATATGTCTGTAGCACTCTCTCCCCATCCAAATGCTGGGTATGCCACAACTGACCTACAAAGCTGGTTTTGTCTGAATTTTACAGATGAGGTAACTGAGGCTCAAAGAACCCTCTAAAGTCACAAAGCTGGCATGCGCCCCAACCTCAAACTCAAGTCTGGGCAGCTACAGATTCCAGGCTGTCTCTGCTTCTCATCGGTTCATCCACTGAACAAACACCTGAGTGCCTACCACACACCAGGCCCCCGTGTCCCTATCGTATAATCATGAGACATCAAACCAGCTGAAGGGCAGGCACCCCGGCTTCTAGAAAAGCTGAGGATCAATCATGTTATTAACGGAGCTGTCCTTAAGCCTCAGCTTTAAGAGGGCCACCCAGCCCCATCGACCTGCCTTTACGATGTCACTTCCCTTCTCTGATTCAAGAAAAAAATCGATGAGCCAGGCATCTCATCATTCCGAAATCAAGGCAGATTCAAGAGGTGTTCTCAGTTCCTCAGCGGTTGGGGCTGGGCCTTCGGAGGAACCCACAGCGTTTCTGAGAACGCACCGGGTTCTCTGGCCTGCCCCTCCTCAACCCAAGACAACTGGCCATCAGGGCCCCTGGTCTGCCCACCACCACGGGCATCTATGCCAGGCCTGGGCACCATCACAGCTCATCACCGTAATCCCCTTTTAAAAGTCCAAAGCCCAGGCTTCTGGCTGAATGGGAGACTTTGATCTTTTTTAGGAAAGTCTCCTCCAAACCCATGCAATTCAAATGTGAAGGGCACCCAAAACAGTGCAGGCTGGCAGTGGGCCATGTGACTGGCTGCAGCAGAGGTCAACCTGACCCCGCTGGCTCTGCACGTGGACCTCTGCCAGAGTGTCTGCCTTTGTGAGCCCCTCCATCTCTGCTCCTTTCCTCCTGGAGTCCAATCAAGGACAGGGACCCGAGGGCAGTGACCCTCAGTAGGGGGACGATTTTGCCCTCTAAGGACCTGGGGCAGTAACAAGATATTTTCACGTGTCATCGACAAAAATGGCAGCTGGCATCCAGTGGGTACAGGCCAGGAACGCTGCGGAACACTTCATGAAACGCAGCCCCACAACCAAGAATTATCAGGCCCCCAATGTCGGGCGTGCTGAGGCTGAGAAACTCTGCTCTAGGGGAACTGCCCCAGCCTGAGGAAGACTCCTCCAGAAAGTCCTGTCACAAAAACAGGCGATAAGATGACATTTTGACATTTCCCAAAGTAGGTGAGTGAGGCTCAAATGTTTCCTGGGCTCTGAGTTGCTCAGCTCATAATCACCTCCTCCTGCAGGTCGCCAGTCCTCACCTACTCTGCCGTCACGCCTGTCCACCAACCGTGAATGAACATCTGCTAAAGAGAATGCCTGAGCACCACCCCCAAACTCTCCCCCACAAGGAGCCAGAGCCACACTCCCAGGGTCCAAATCCTGCCGAGGCCACGTATTAACTGTCTGAACTCTGAAAGGCTATTTAATTCCTCTCCAGACTGAGTTTTCTCAGTTTGGAAATGAGTACAGCACCCATTCCATCCAGCCTCGGTGTGGGGGCTGGGTTCGGGAAGGACTGGGAAGCACTCAGACAGAGCCTGACTAAAGAGCAGGGGCTCGGTGACTGCTAGCAGTATCTTTGTTGTATACGCCTGACGGTTCTGCCCCCAGTGACCCAAGAGCCCCGCAGGAGAGGGGAACGGGGGTAACACCACAGTGCACTGCTCACACCTGGGACCGCCATCCCACACAGTTCATACAGGCCCCCCCACCCAGGGGGAGCTGGGAAAGGAGGGGGCCCGAGAACACCCAGGCTCCCTGCCGGCCTCTGAAAGGCTTAGAGAGTGAGCCCCACACCTCACTTCCCCGAGGGGAGCCACCAGGGAGCTTCCAGGGCGCACCAGCACAAGAACGTGTCTGCAGGCCTCGCCTGACTGGACCCGTTCCAAGGGGAGTGTGGTGAGCAGATGGTCTGACCTCTCCCCGCCTCACCAGAGATGGACAGAAGAGCCACTTCAGAGACGTGAGGCGTAACCAAGTGAACCGACACGAACAGGGCTGTCCCATCTGGTCGTGCAAGCTGAGCTCACCAAGGAGGGCACTGGCCGCTCAAAGACCATGTGGACTCCTCATTTATTAAAACTGTATCCTGGCAGTAAAGAGTCTCATTCTGGCAGAATTGGTCTATTATGAGTTCTCCAATAGGTGAGGTAGCGTGCCTTTGGAGGGATACAGGGTTCCTTTTCTTGTTTGCACAAGGCTGACCCATGGGCTTTGTGGGGGCCTTGGGTATAGGTTCTCAGCAGAGGGTAGCTACGAACATGGTGCTGTAACTCCCAGCTCACCTTCTCCAGGTCCTGCAGGAACACCTGAGCGATCCAGGAGGCCCTCTCGAAGCAGGTGATCACCTCCTCCTCCCTCTCGGTCAGGCGGGGGCGGGAAGCGATGGAGCTGGGTAGGCGTTCCAGGGAGAGGCCTGCAGGAGGAGAGTCCCTCAAAGCTGCCCTGCTCAGGCCCCCCGACTCCAGGCCCTTCCCATGGGCCCAGGGTGGGCGCGAGAGAGGAGGCTTCTGCTCCGGAGCAGCCAGCGGGAGGCGGAGGTCCACGGAGGGGAATGAGGAGGCTAAGCGCTGGTGGTATTAGCAGCAGCTGGAATCAAGCAGCGGGCAGATGGCAGGCACCCATGCTCCACATGGGGAGCCACACTGTGACACCCCCACGTCCAACTCCTGCCTATGCAGCCAGACCAGCCTCTCCAGGAACCATTCCCAGCCCTCCTTCTAGTTGCTAGAAAAAATCACCCACCCCCAGGCCCTCACCAGGTCTGCACTGTAGCACGGTCATTTATGCCCAGCTCTCCTCTCTGCCAATAGCTAAAAACTCCAGTGGACAAAATGTTGTTCAACCCCAGGCACACGGCAGATGCTCGAGTTACACAGTGTTTTACACGGCACCTCTCCCGTGGAACCAGCTGCTGCCTCGCCTAAGTGATCTGCGCTCAGGCCTTAGCTGCCCAGAGTGATGGCCATCTGCTGTTTGCGCCTCCCCGGCATCCACTTCCCATTCTTTCAGCAGCAGCACCTCGCTTTCCCTCTGAGCACCCCTGTGCAGGCTCGGCCTGTGGGTTCAAGGGCGATGACCCTGCTCCCCCTCTGGAGGAGCACGTGAACCAACATCAGGCCACAGTCAGGAGCTGAGGAGGAGCACACGGCCTGGTCTGAGTGAAGGGCCAGTCGATCCCGGAGATCTCCCTCTTTCCACTGGGCTTGGTGACCTGGTAAGAGGTCGGCCTGGAGATGCTGGGGGAGCCTGTCTTCCAGTGCAGCTCCGCAACCTGAGTGCGGTCAACTCGACTGAACCGCACGCCCGACAGTGGTGAAGACAGTGCATGTCATGTTGTGTTCTTTACCACAATTAAATACCTCTTTGAAATTAAAATGAAAGCAGAGCTCTAAAGCAAAAACCAAAACCAAACAAACGAAAAACAACCCAAAACAAAAGAACTACGGGAAGCCAAGAAGGGGAAGCATTGTTATACTTCCTAGAAGTGAATGCCGTAGAGGAAAACAACTGTATTTGTGTGAGTGTTTTTAAGACGGGAAAGAATGAATAACAGTCGTAAAAAAATCAAGGAAGTCGACACAGAGGGAAGATGAGAGACGGACACAATGGGAAAGGGCAGATTCTTACAGGTGCTGTCTGTAAAAGACGAAAGATTTATACTACCTGAAGAGAAACCAGAGAATTAAAGATGCCATTTGAACGCCTTGCCTGAAGCTCTAGCCCCTGAAACTTCCCAGCACAGGTGACAATAAACCCTCCCCCCCACCCTTTTTGGAGTCACATGCATTTCAAATTGAGTTTTTGTCGTGTGCAACTCACATAGACCCAATGGGCGGGCGCTGTCCTAGACCGTCAGTTCCCAGTGGGCAGAATCCAGGGCACTCTCACCTTTGTGCCCCCGACAGTACTCGACAGGTACTGGGTGCTCAAGACGAACTGACTGAAGAGACCGTGAGAACAGAATCCTCAGCTCTCTCCCGCCCCACGACCCAGCATACAACTGATACTCAGGCCCTCAACATTTAAACCACCGCTCCCCTCCCTTCTCGTGCTACCTTGTTTCAGGCTCTGTTTCTTCAGAGGATGACCACATCAGCCTCTGGGCTGGCCTCCCTGCCCCCAGTCTCCCTCTAACCCACCCTGCACGTGGCCCCCAGAGTGAGGCTGCCCAGTCCCACCACTGCGGCCCTCCAGGAGTGTCTGCCGCTTCAGAGCAAGGCCCCACCCCTGATGCTGCCAACCAGGCCTTCCAAGATCCATCCCCACCACCCCTCCAGCCTCGCCTCTCAACATGTGCTGTCCATGGAGTGTGTGCGTCTCCCCCCACCCCGAATTCATTTGTCGAACACCTAATACCCAAGGTAGCATAATCGCCTTTGGGAGGTGATTGCGGTAGGTCCTGAGAGTGGACCCCTCACTAATGGGATTAGTGTCTTTCTGAAAAAGGCCCCCGAGAGCTCCCTCCCTCCTTGTACCGCATGGGACCACAACAAGGTGGTGGCAGCCTGCAGTGTGGAAGACCGCTCTCCCCAGAACCTGACCACGCTGGTGCCTTGATCTTGGACTTCCAGCCTTCAGAACTGAGAAATCAGTGTCTGTTGTACATAAGCCGCCCAGCCTGTGGTCTTTTGTTCCTGCAGCTTGAGCTGTCTAACGTCCCGTAACTGCCAAATCCACACCCAACCTCTCGTGCCCAACTGCAGACCCTGTTCAAGTTGCTCCTGCTACTAGAACGCCCCCCCACCCGCCGAGTCCGCCCCAAATTACCTCTCCCCTTCTGCCCCAGAGTCGCCTCTATGGAGCCCCTCCCAACAGAACCCTGGTAGAACCAGCCATCCCTTCTCGGGCCCCAGTCTATGCTTTACACTCACCCACCCCGCCATTCCTTAGACTTGTCTGTTCACACGTTTGCCCCGCCAGACTGTAGACTCCCTAAAGCCATCGACCTTATCACATTCACCTTTTCACAAGCTAGCGCACAGTAGGCGCTCAGCAAGCACCGGTGGGCGGAAGGAACAGCAAGCCCGATCATGCCTGACAGTACAAAGTGCTCTGCCAGTACCAGGTGAGGGATTAATATTGTTTCTTTGGCTACATCCCAACTCATACAGAGTCAGTGACCTTGCCCTTTGCCAGGCTGGGGTGTGAACAGGTCCGAAGGTTGGGGTGCCTCGGCCTGGGTGGAGGCAGGTGCAGAGCGTGAAGGCCCCGGTTCAACACAGAGGCTGTCACCCGTGTCACTGGGTGTCAGTGTGCTTCCTGCCAGATGACTCACAACTAACTCAGCTCCTCGCCAGAGAGGACTGAAGGGGAGGAGAGACAGAGGGAGTGTTGGAGGAGACGCAGAGAGAAGGCAGGCCAAGGAGGCCCCACCGCTCGCAGCCATGCCGGCCCAGCTGCTGGCCCCAGTCATGTGGTCTGCCCACCCTGCGGGAAGGTGGGACAGTCACACACGCTGTTCAGGGGCCTGGCCTGGGAGACCAGCTGCAGATGGCAGGACACCGCCACCTCCAGAAGACAGCATGGACCTGTTTTCACACAGCTACCCGGTCCCCTCCTCTGGACCCGGAACTGGGAAGGACGATGCCAGCTGCCCGGCAGGTCCAGGCTGCCGGTCCCAGGTCTCCAGTCGAGTGGCCGCTGCAAAGCAAGGGGTTTAGTGACGACTGTCTGTGGGCCTCCCGTGCTTCCTTTGCTCCCCTTGCTGCCCGCAGAGGCCTCTCCACCTTGCTTCCTCGGGGGTTCTGAGCCCCATCCTCCTTGAAAGCTCCCAGCACAACCACCTCCTCTCCGAAACTTTCTTAAGCCTCCCGGCCTTGAACCAGCAGAATGTGTTAGCTGCGTGGCCTTTGTGCATGCCTTTGTCCTGCTTTGTCACCGTCCTCTCTGCCCAGTTCTGACTGATCTCCGACCGGTGAGGAGAGCCCGGCCCTGAGTGAGCGGAGGGTGCACAGATGAACATGAACAGACGCTCCTGCTGGTGCTGAGCCCAGTGGGGTTCTTCCTCCCTCTCCACTTAAAAAACAGATCTCGCAGAATTCATAAACAAATTGTGTGTTTATACAGTGGAATACCACTCAGAGATGAAAGGACAAACTCCTGATACACACACAACATAAACGAATCTCTCAGAGATGACATTGTGCAGAGGTCAGATACCAAAAAGGACATGCTGTGATCTCATTAGATGATATTCAAAAAGGGGCAAAATTAACCTAAATTGATAGAAACCGACCCATCACTGTCTGAGGCGGGGCTGGGGAGAGGGCCGGCTGGGAGAGGGCCTGAGGCACCTCCTGGGTGACAGAACCAGCCTGTCTTTACTGGGGTGCTGGGTGCATGGGTGTCTGCACTTGCCCCACTCGTCAAATCACCCACCTAAGATCTGTGCACCTTGCGGGGTGACAAGCCACCTAAAGTGAAGGGACAGAATGCCTTTTCAAAAGGGAGCGGTTTCGATTCTGGAGAACCAAGAGGTCCCCGAGGGGGTCTTCTCTCACAGTTTCCAACACACACAAGACCCAACACTTCCTGGAGTTCGCAGTGGCTTCTCCTGGTCAGGGTCACAGTCTGAGCACCCAGTTGCACCCATAAAAAGGGGGGCGTCTTCACCTTCCATTTGCTCTTTGATTTATATGAAGGTCCATTTTCCTGTCCACGAACATCTGATTGGAAATGGGCTGGGGACTCCAACACTTGGGCTCCCCTCCCCCCTCTGCCCCTGAGCGTTCCTGACCGAGTGGCCTGATGGCAGCCCTGGGTCCAGACGGAGACAGACTGCTCCTGAGCCGGGCCCTCTGAGGGTCCCCGTGGACATCACACAGCCCCGTCGATTGGGCAGGACACCAGGGCTGCCAGGAAGTGCCAGGTACTGCCTCACAATGCCCACTGGAAGAGGCGCCTTTGTGTGAAACCACCCAGCTCTCTAAGCCAAGGGAGGGCCCCTTTCAAGAGAAGTGCTGGCTTTTTCATTACTTCCAAACTTTTGGTGTGGAGGCAAGCTGACCCTGGCACAGTCGGGGGCTCAACACTCAGGCTGGTGCCAGCCTCCTCCTTCTGGGATGACTCATCACAGCCCAGACAGCTACCCTTCCAAGAAGCCCCACCCTGGAATCCCTGGATGCAGAGGTGGAGGGCACAGTGCTTCCTCTGCAATGGAACTTTCCAGAGGGGTGGACCCCCTCCCTCTTGCCTTCCCAGCTGATCCAAGAGCCCAGGGCACCCATGGAGGGCTAAGCCTAGAGCTGGGAATCCCAGGTTGGGGTAGGGTGGGGAGAGGAAGAAAAGCAAGTCACTGCTTCAGCCCCTAGGGAGGAAGCCTCAAGGCCAGGTAGGGAAGAACCCTCATAAATCACATGCAAAAGCTGGCAACTGTGGGAATGTAAAATGGTTCAGTTGCTGTGAAAAACAGCC